TGATTTTTTTTGCGTGTGAATGCTATTTTTAATTAACATTTCCATCTTACTCAACTATTTGTAATAAATATGGAAATGAAGATTTTGTTTTTCACAAGAAAAAAATCTCAATCATTTTTTTTATTCAAAAAATCAGTAGAATTATATTTTTCTATACAAGTTTCTTTATTGATATTTTCTAAGAAATTTTTAACTCAAATTTTTCTGATTTTTTTGGTTGATTTTGTTAATGAATAAGATGAAAAAAGAATGGAAAAAAATTGGAAAATTCAGGTTGAGGAATTTCTATAGAATGCACTGGGTTTTTTTATATTTTTTTTCTGCGTGTACTATTTTTAATTAACATTTCCATCTTGCTCACTGATTTGTAATAAATATGGAAATGAAGACTTTGTGTTTCCCCAGAAAAAAATCTCAATAATTTTTCAATTCAAGTTGAAAATAAATACTAAAAATAATGTAAATAATAGGAATAAACAAATTATTAATTTCAGACAGAATTTCTTTGATTCAAAATTCATTGATATAATTTTAATCGTCAAGTTCAGGTTCACTATGAACTAAAAATAATCATTGATTCCAGAATCACATGAGATCAATCGAATAACGAAGCAATCCACGCGTCATTTATCTCCGCAAGCGGAAATAAGATGGATAAATCATACACTCGACTCCGTTACATTCCCCTTAAAAGCGTGATCACTTGAATATGAATGTTTAATCGGGACGAATGTCTCGGCCGTCCTTTTCGCGCCTGATTGCAAGCTGTTGTAGATTAGATTAACCCTCGACTCTTAATGTTCCAACATAAAAAAAATTTGAACAGATTTTTAATGGAGAATAAATGTCTCCATATTACCTCTCACGATGCCCAGGCGTTCATTGAAGTATCCGGGCAGGGGAGATCGATGAAATGGTATCTGAAATATTCTCTATTTTCACTTCATGAAATACTGCCCATGAAAGAGCGTTTGAATACCGCTGCGAACCCGGTTTGTGCCAGGGACCCACTTTCTGCGATTTTAATGCCTCTGCGAGAATATTAATGTCGATTGTTTATCAGTCCGCAGGAGCTTAATTTTTTCATGATCAATGATTCTCATTCACGCACATAAATGACTAAAATTCATTCAAATTAACGAAATATCTTCACGCCAAAGCTTTATTTTTTAATGATTAGTGATTCTCATTCCGTCTGGAAATCCACGAGAATTATTCATCATTGAATTCATATCAGTGAAATGAGAATTTTGTTGAGAACAGACTGAAATTTATTCAAATTAACGAAATATCTTCACGCCGAAGCTTTATTTTTTAGTGATTAGTGATTCTTATTTCGTCTGTCAATCCACGAGAAATATTTGGCATTGAATTGTCAAAAGTACTGGCCCAACTGCTAACACTTCCACGAGTGATTCTTGGGTCGAGAGTTAGGAGTGGACGCACACTGTTTTCCCCTCTATTTCCCATGTGCGAGTTGTAAATACATGAGAGAATATGCGGACTTGTAGGGAGTCACCTCAATTCGTTCACAAGACTAAAAAGAATTATCAGGAAAATTTATTTAATGGCAAATATGGGATGGCAGTGAGTGGTCCCCTGGTATTTTACGGTGGAGCTGTTAGTGCCACTGTAGTTTCTGTCACTTATCTAACCGCTTCCCTGTGGAGGTTCTTTCTGTAACTCAACTCCCCAATGAATGAACGTACATCCCCTGGTGTGGAAAAGAATCCTCACTATTCTGCTCGATAAACCTCAACTTCTCCTATGATTTTTTAAAAGAATTTTCTACACCACGAATATTTGACCTGTCACATTCGATTCGTAAACTGGCATAAACTGGGTCCAAAGGGGTGGCAGAAACTGCGCGAGATGATTTTGAGGGTGGCAGGAACTCAGTCATCGGACCGTTATTTTTATAACTTCAATGTTAGTTGTTTTTGCGGATTTCAAAAAAGACTGTTGGGACGATGGAGGCATTATTAAACTGCACATTTTCCTCTTTGAATTGTGAATTTGGAATGAGGACAGACTATTCTTCGGGTTTGACATCCATCAAATTGAAATGCCTGTTCCGAATTGTATTTCATCGCGGGGAATCCCCGGAAGCTGCTGTGGTAATCTGAAGGTTGCGGGTTCAAATCCCCTCGCGGGCATTACTCTTCTTGATTTTGTGTTCAACAAAAACTTGAATGCTAGTATTGCGTCGTGATTAACTGTAAAAATCGTATCAATTCGGCTCGGAAAATAAATTGATGAGTAATTCAATCAGAATCAAGCATAAATTATTAAAAAAGTAATATTAGAGGAGATGAGAAATAAGAGAATGAAAATTAATTCCAGACGCGGAGACACTTGAGTGTCGCGATAGTATTACTGATCAGCTCAAGCGGATTTGCCAGTGAAAAGCCGCGAAAATGCGCGGGCAGTGGAGTTGGACTCAAATACGTGTGGGGAGATGCTATGACGGATTCGGCTGATTGCGTCGGGCCCAATGACATGCAGTATCCAGTGTAAGTAGATCGAAAATTCATCTATAAGAGAACTTTGTTATTTTTTTTTTGTAAAAGTAAATAAAAAAATTGAAATTAACGAAGATTCAATATTTTTTATAATTATCCAATCAATAATTGCTGCATTAATTGAAAGTTTAATGAGCATTTTAATGAAAATTAATTCATGTTTTTTCATTTTTTTTATAAATGAAAAAGTTTAAATCAACGAAGGTTCAATATTCTTCGATAAATATTCATACATTTTTCCATTTTAATTCAAACATTCGAAGATGAATCCATTTTTTTTAATTCTTCATCTTTTGAAATAAAAAAATTATTCAAATTATTAAAATAATTTTTTGAAAAGATTTAAAAAAAATTAGAAAAAAAATCCTTTTCATTTATTTTTTCAATTCTTCATCTTTTAAAATAATAAAAAAAATATTTTGATAATTTGAATAATTTTTTTTTTAAATTACTTTTTTTTTGTGAAAGTAAATAAAAAAGTTGAAATTAATGAAGATTCGATATTTTTTATAATTATCCAATCAATAATTGCTGCATTAATTCATGTTTTTTCATTTTTTTAAATAAATGAAAGTTTAAATCAACGAATGTTCAATATTCTTCGATAAACATTCATACATGTTTCCATTTTAATTCAAACATTCGAAGATGAGTCAATTGTCTTTAATTCTTCATCTTTTGAAATAAAAAAAATTATTCAAATTATTAAAATAATTTTTTGAAAAGATTTTTTCAAAAAAAAAATTTTTTTTTAAAATCTTTTTCATTTGTTTTTTCAATTCTTCATCTTTTCAAAAAAAAAAAAAATATTTTGATAATTTGAATAATTTTTTAGAAATTAGTTTTAAACATTGAAAAAAAAATTTTTTCCTGCAGTGCAGCAATAGCAAGAAGCTTCAAAAATCTGTGGGGAAACAGTCGCACAGGACGTGCTTACAATCACCACAACCACGTTACAGACCCTGAAAAAACGCGCCAAGCACTCCTCCAAAATTACAAAGCCTCAAGGGGTGAATATACCCTCGGCGCATCACGAAACGGTGAGTCCCCCCCCCAGAATTAGCAGCACGTAAAAAATATCTTTGTCCATAATTTATGTCAAGTGTCCTACCTTTTCACCTGAATGCATGAACTATGTGGTGTAACGGTATTGCCAAATAATAAACTCGTGACGCCCGTGAGGCGCTCGATCGAGGGCAATACAGTTATCGGGTCTCTTCTTGGTGCACATCAGCCCACAAATATGTATAACGGGATTGTAGTTTATATAAACTACTTTGAAAACGAGAAATGTGGGACATATGGCGATTTTTTTCAGTGACGATTGAGTGACAATTATTGAGGGGTTCAGGCAATCAGTGCCACTAATGGGACGATTGCTTATCTTGATTTACGTGATCGGGAATTGCAGATTTCGTCTTTTTGCTGAGGGTTTCCGGGAGTGATTAAATGTAACAGAACATGCGGATTTTTATAATGTTAAATGCTGAATGTATCGTTGATGAATGATAAATCAAAGATATCGCATTTTTGTAAATGAGGAGTTATCTCGATATCGAGGGGTTGTAGGGAAAAATGACAAAAGACTTTTTTGTTGGAAATTTAATTCTCTACAAAAAATTTCTTATGACACTTTCTCCTAAAACAGTTCGTTTTCGAAATAAATGCACAAACGTAAACTAAGAATTCGTTTTTTTTGTTCAAGTCAATTTTCAACATCTTGTTGAATGTCAAAAAACCGTGATAACGAGTGGTTGTAGGAAAAAATGGCATAAAAAATTTTTGTTGGAAATTTCATCTGCTACAAAAAATTTCTGATGACATTTTCTCCTAAAACAGCTCGTTTTCGAACTGAATGCACAAACGTAAACTAAGAATTCGTTTTTTTTGTTCAAGTCGATTTTCAACATCTTGTTGAATGTCAAAAAATCGTGATAACGAGTGGCTGTAGAAAAAAATGGCATGAGACATTTTTGTTGGAAATTGAATTCTCTACAAAAAAAATTTTATGACATTTTTTCCTAAAACCCCTGATTACCCCGAAAAAACAGAAATAGAAGGAAAACTCTAATAGATTAGTCTCGCATTCTTCCTCCTGGGAACGTAAAAATGAATAATGAATGACGAATTACCCATTTAGGTCGGGGTTACACACCAAAGGAAACATGCGGATCACCAGGTCGCCTGTGCAAGACGCGCTACAACACAACAGCACCGATGTACGGGGTCAGTCTGACTAGCGGTCAGCCGGTAACGATCGTACAAAAATTCCCCGACCTACTCCAGCAGGTGGTCTTCGAGGTTTGCGAGTGAGTTCATTAGTCACAACTTCCCATAGACCCCATGAAAAAAAAAGCAAAGAAATCCTGAAAAATGTATTGAACGTGTATTGATGATTAATGAGGAGAATGAGGACGAAGAAAGCAGTTTTGAGAGTGCAATTGGAGATTGTGAAAAGTCGCAGTACGTGACATTGCTTATTCAATCGTCATACTGTCACTCGTGTTGGACACGATACGGGTGAAAAAATTTAATGGAAAAACCTAGTGAATTCGCTATTCTATTGGATTTCTATTGAGATATTTTCTATAGAATTTTATTTAGAATATCATAATATTCTCTAGAAATATTAATAATATAATGTTTAGAAAATTATATAATATATAACATGTGATATATAATATATAATATATAATATAATATGCAGCATACGATATACAATAGAATGAAAAAAACTTGGAAAGTTTCAGCTGAGGAAATTCAATAGAATTGTTTTAACGAATTCGCTAGGTTTTTCTATAAAACTTTTTCGTGTGTTCGGTTGTCATTTAGCATTAATTTCAGAAAAACAGTCTTGAAGAAAAGAGAGTCATGGGAGTTCAATTGAAATGCAATTTTATTTAGAATGACAAATAATTTTTTTTCAATTAAATTTTCCTCGTATTTAGTATGAGATATTTAATTGGAAAAAATCTTGTTCTTTTGTTAATTTATTCTTCTTTTTTTTGGGGAAAATAGAAATTATTGCTGAAAGCATTCATAAAATATCTGCTTTTCCCAGATCACTCGGGTTTTCATTCCAATAATCTCAACGATGTGGGGAAATTTGTTGGTGACGTCTTTCACTAGGATAACGACTTCTATTTTAGAACTAAATTTTCACCGTCAGAACCCGATCTGGAGCGCTCGATAGAGGGAAATTTAAGATTTCCCTGGCTTTCGGGGAGAGATGGCATTTCACTCTGATGGAATGAAATGTTAAATATCTATTGACGTTTTTTTTATTAAAATATTTATTTCTTACATCACATTTAATTAAATTTTCAATAGTAATTTCCTGAATTTTCAGGAAAAATTTGCAACCGTGCGAAATTTCAAAACTGCAACCCAAAATTTTCATTTTATTAAAACTTAAAAAAAAATTATTTGTAAAATAAATTGACTGATTTCCAAAAAATTTCAAGATTTCATCCTTGAATTTCCATAAAAAATTTCAACCATCAAAAATCTCGAAGCCTCAGCCCCAAAACTTTAATTTCATTGAAAATTCTAGAATATGATGAAATGATTTGTAAAAAAATGGACTAATGCTTCAAAAATTTCAAGATTTTACCCTTGAATTTCCATGAAAAAATTCCAATCCTATAAAATTTCAAAACCCCAGCCCCAAATTTTCAATTTCATCAAAAACTCAAAAAAATTGCCTGATGAAAAAAATTGACTACTTTTTTTTTATGTCACCATTGTATCCTCGAAAGACTAAAAAAAATCATTCGAAATTTCAGATCCAAAGAATGTGACGTTGTTCACGGTGAATGTACGCAGACATACGTCCCATACCTCTTCCTGGTGATTCCGCTGGGCCCAGTGACCCTAACAGGTCAGGATTACGTTCTCGTGGAGAGTGGCTGTGTCTGCAAGCCGAAGAACTCGGTGAATTCCCACCAAGAAGTGCCCCCAGTTCCCAAACTCTAATTAAACCAATTATTCCAAGAGGCAGAATTTACTCGTTTCACCGTGGTTTTCTGTGAAAACCAGGAGCATCATAATTAGTAATAAAAACCAATTTAATACCGAGGATGAAGAGCGACTGTTCATGGTCGCCCCCGCTGTCGGGTTCTTGACCCAGGGCACCCGAGGCTTTTCCCACGCTCAATTCTTCCCAACGAAACAAGTCATAACGGTTGCACAAAGGAAATTGCAATGACCGATAAAGAATGAGTGCCTAATAAAATCGTACATTCCCATATTCTCTAGTTTATTTTGCATCGACTGGGAAGTGCAGGGGCAGGCGGGCCGACAGGAGAGATGAGTGAAGTTGATTTGAAGCTGAATTTTCGAAAAATATCTCCAATTCTCCAGTTTTACCAAAATAATTTGACATTTTAGATGTCGAAAAAATCGCCATTCACGTTAATAGATTTATCTTAAAAGCGATTGACCTCAAGGGAAAAAGTCATAAGACATTTTTTGTAGAGAATTAAATTTCCGACAAAAAATGTTCTGTGGTATGTCCTCGTAAAACCACTCGTTACCAGGATAATTGACATTGAACAAGATGTTCAAAATCGACTGAACCTCAAAAAAATTGAATTCATCATTTTGTTGATGAATTTATCTCGAAAACGGTTGACGTTACGAGAAAATGCCATAGGATATTTTTTGTAGAGAATTGAATTTCCGGTAAAAAATGTCTCGTGACATTTTCCTCTAAAAAATGTCTAGGACATGTTTAGCGCCGAATTGAAGAAAATTTTTTCAACTTCAAAAGATGTCTTGATCATAATTGAATCAACTTCACTGATCACCCCCCAAAAAAAATGAAAAATCATCGAAGAAAATAATGAGGACTCCCATTGGGTTATTCAGGAGCGTCGAAGGCCACTGAAGCCTGCGCGTGCCCAAGTGGCACATCTCCGAGAAAAACTTCCCAGATTTTTCCTCCTCCGGGATTCTCTCGGTCGAGAGGACCCTCGACTGGACCAAGAGAGCCTCTCCCCCCTTGCAAAAATGAAGAGGATCTCACGGTGACCGACTGTATCGTGCATTACACTATGAATTCCGATGAGTGGCTGACGTACCGTTACTCGTTTGCGGGATCATTCACCTTGACTTTTTTTTTTATCGTTCTTTCGTGGAGGGATCACTCCACCGTGCGTCGCGAACACTGACGTGATATTAATTTCTATTGATTTGTCGATGGTGGTTCAGTGGAGGGAGGATAATTTTATTTTTAGGTAAATAATAGTTCGGGAGAATGGGAGAGAGTAAGAATTATCTCGGTAATGAGTTCGCGATGGAATTGAGGGGATTTTTTTGGGTTTAGTTGAGGGTCAAATGACTCCTTGTGATCACTCTGCTTTCATTCGATTGACCCTTAAGACCATTTCGAGGTCAACCCTAAATTTCTTGTTTTGTTTGACCCTCAAGACCATTTGACCCTCAATTTCAAACGTCCTTAAATATTTGGGCCCTTAAGACCATTTGACCCTCAACCCTGAACACTTTTAAGGGTTTTTTGACCCTTAAACTAAACATTCCTAAGGGCTGTTTGACCCTCAAAAACATTTGACACTCAATTAAAGATGAGGGTCAAATTTTCTCAAGGGGCAAACGACCCTTGAAGACGTGTAAGATTAGGGGTCAAATGACCCTTTCTGATCAGTCTGCTTGAACTTGTTTGACCCTTAACACCATTTGACTCTCAACCCTGAACGTTTTCAAGGGCTGTTTGACCCCCAACTGTAAATTCTGAAGGGTCGCCTGACCTTCAAAACCGTTTTGACACTCAATTAAAGATGAGGGTCAAATTGTCTCAAAGGGCAAGCGACCCGTGAAGACATTTGGAATTAAGGGTCAAATGGCCCTTTCTGATCATTCTGCTTTAACGCATTTGACCCTCAACCCTGAACGTCTTCAAGGGCTGTTTGACCCTCAAAAATATTTGACACTCAATTAAAGATGAGGGTCAAATTGTCTCAAAGGGCAAGCGACCCGTGAAGACATTTGGAATTAAGGGTCAAATGGCCCTTTCTGATCATTCTGCTTTAACGCATTTGACCCTCAACCCTGAACGTCTTCAAGGGCTGTTTGACCCTCAACTCTAAACTCTAAATTCTTAAGGGTCGTTTGAAATTTAAGGTCAAATGACCCTTTCTGATTGCTCTGTTTTAACGATTCGATCCTTAAAACCATTTGACCCTCAACCCTGAACGCTTGTAAGGGCTTTTGACCCTCAACTCTAAACCTCCTAAAGGATCATTTAACCGTCGACTAAAGATGAGGGTCAAATTGTCTCAAGGGGCAAACGACCCTTGAAGACCTTTAGAGCCACAAAATACCTCTAATGTTTTCAGACGAGGGTCAAATGGTCCTGAGGGTCAATCGACCCTCGCCGAGATAATCCCACTCTCGCCAAAGAGCGCCCGAAAACGTCATCTAAATTCACGCCTCCGCACTCCCCTGGACCACCCCTAGCTCATAATTACCTCATAAGTCCGTCGATTTAATAAAAAAAATGTTAATACCCCTCGAACCAATTACACTGTAATTCCCATGATTTATCCACTCTATTTATTGTATATTCACTCCACCAGCCATCCCTCACTCCCCTCATCTACTCCTCTCCCTGGTAACACTATTAACTTCCACAATCATCCCGAACGATGAACACAGACTCAATGTAAAATTCACCTCCACATGTATGTACGAACGATAAAACTGATAATTTATTCGAAAAAAAATGAATAATAGACTGACTCCCTGTGTATTTTTCTTCATAGTTTTAATAATCCTCATTTATCTACTTCTCATTCACTTCAAAAATATACAAATAAATAACCGATTGATACAAATGGTAATTTTGTATATTTTCGTATTAAATACTCAACACTAATGCATACTCAATACATTTTAATATCGATCGAGGAATTGATACTGATTTATTCCTCGATAAAAATCAAAACTAATAATTAAACTTTGGAGCACCATTAGCTGTAATGCTCAAACAGTGAATAAATCTATTGAAATATCTCATAATAAATGAATAGATAACGGTCGTTGCTTTGTCCATACATTTGCATTTTTTTTATCATCTATGGATGAAAAATATATTGATATCGATGATAATTAGCTTCGATAGCTGTCATGATTGGATTAATTGTGGCACCAGATTCGTTTTGAGAATATCTAAAATCAATTGTTCACGACTTTGGGATTTTTTAAATTTCATTTCATTTTTTCGCTCATTTTTTTTTTTCATTCTTCATTTGGATTTGGATTTTTATTTGTCTAATTGACATTTCAGGGTCATCATACATGACGACTAAAATAGAGTTTTCGTCTAATGTTCATGAAGCAGGAAAAATCCCAAAAGTCGTGAATGTCTCAGTACAATCGATCAATTAATACGCTACAAGCCCTCAAGACACCTTATCTCCATTCACCCGCTGATAAGACATCTCCAGATGAATCACTAGCTCTCGTATTCTCTGAGACCTCAATCTTAATAATACTATGCGGCAAATCAGTGAAATTTTAATTTAAAAAATTGTACTCTCGTACAAATGCGGAGAGACAACGACCTGAATAACAATTTTTCAATTAAAGAATCAAATGCAACAAGTTTTTAACCGAAGAACAAATTATAGATAATTGTTTCGTCTTCTCGCGATGATTTAGTCGAATCAGAAGATAAATTAAATATATAACAAGCTTTGCTTTTACTTGGATACTATAATTACATCTTTGGAAGGACAATAAAAGGCAATAATATGCTTTAGAAAATTTTGAACTACTCTATGCTGCCGGTAATGGAGGATTAGGGAGGAGTGGAGACTTTTCTGTTGATTTTTCAATTTATCTTGAGATTCTTCAATTTTTTAAAATTGTGATTTTTCAATTATCATCTCAGCAATGAGTGATTTTAGAGCGCAATGTAATCAGAACTTTTTTAAAATGAAAAATTGAATTTTTGCATTCATTTCGAGACTGTGGTACTAGGAGGAAATGTTGAATGGCATTTGTTACAAGAATAAAATTTCCCACAAAAAATATTCCTCAACATTTCCCCTGAAATTGTCCACCGAAGAATGAAAAATCATTCCTAAACCCCATCTCCACCCCTCCCCATCCCCCGAACATCTGTTCCTCTTCGATACCCATTAATATTACTTCATTTATTACGAAAGATATATTCACTTTATAATATAGCACACACACTGCGCCAGACTAGAATCGTAATGACACTTAAACTCTCACCTCAAAAAAAAAAAAACTGAAATAATTCTCATAACAATAAGAAATAATCGAAATTTCTCAAACGTTTTAGTGTAAAAAAAATTAATAAAATCCTGTAAAATAACTGATAAAACGTAAAAAAAATGGCTATCAGTACAATTATGGCCGTTGGGCCCTCAATCCTGGCAAAAACGATATTTACACTTCGAGAAATGAAAAAAAACAATGTTTTTCGCTTCTGGAAATAAACGGTAAGATGGCACTGGTGGACATTTATACTTCCAAAAATGATGCAATGGATTTAGTTCGTCGAACCTTTTTATTCCACGTTCTCAGTTGTCACTCTCTGCGTAATCATCGCTGTCACCACTATCGTAACTCTGTCCTTTCGACTCACCACACTTGCTGTAGTCCCTCGCGTAACAATCGCGCGTTTTGCAGTGACCATTGGGGTCAGAGGTAATACTATCCAAATTGGGTGAAAAGGCGTCTTCCTCCATTCCCGGGTCGTACAGCCTGGAATTTAATTGTTCATTAAATTGACCGGAATTGTTGCATTCTTCAATTACGTTTGAAAAACGAGACTACGAATTTCTAGGGAATTTTTAGATTATTTCAGGAGCGAAACGTTAAAACAGTTAAAGTCGATTTAGCCCTTAACTGAAGTTTTGGGGAATATCTCGGAATGTAAGGCAGATAGCAAAATTTTTGTTATGACCTTTTTTGTAGGACGAAGTGAGGGCTACAAAAAAGGTCATGACAAAAATTATGGTATTTCCCTTAGATTTCGAGATATACGTTGAAAACTGGGCAACAGTCAAAATCGAATTGAACCATTTTTCATTCAGACCTATTAAATTCAAAATAAAACTGAATAAAAATGTCATATTTATTCATTTGCGAGATATTCAACAAAAACGCCTTGACTAAATCATCACTTTTAAAAAACAAACACTCACATTTGGTCATTCTGGTCATTTCCGCTCTCTTCCGCCACCAAAAGTTCATACTCATCAGCAGCAAATCGATCCCAATCCGACATCTGAGAAAAATACCCCTCATTAATCCCAAATCCCTCCTTGTGGCTCTTAAATTTATTATATTGCATAGACTTTAATTTTTATATTATGAAAATTATGTAAAAAATCAATGAACAAATAAATAAATGGATAAATAATAAAATAAATTACTAATTAACAATATTTTCCTCAGAAATGAATGACTTAAGAGCGAAATATCAGAATTTTTGTTAAATAAAAAATTTAAACTGTTACAAAAAACGATTAAAAATTTTAGAAAGAAACGCTGGATCACATTTTCAAACAATTGAATTCCCCACAAAAAAATATTTCTCGTCATTTCCCCTAAACCCCTCGATTTCCCAAAAGTCAAAAATCCACCAAAAAATTAAAGAAAAAATTATTTCTGAAATTAATGCTATTAGAGGGAAATATCACCAGAACTTTTGTTAGATAAAAATTTAAACCGTGACAAAAGTAATTTAAAATTAAGAAACAACTTTAGATCATAATAAATCGAAATAATCCATGAATTGGTAAAAAAATGTAAAATCAGTGAGACATTTGTTCACAAAGTGTTGTAAATAACTGAATAAGGGTGTGCCCCATACAAGTAAAAGAAATTCATAATAAAATAAATTACCTCATGCCCCTCAGCATCCTGATCCCGGCCAGTCGTTGCAAAAGGATCCCTCTGCTCATGATCAAGATACTTCTCAAGATTGAAGAAAGTATCAAAGAAAATTGATGTCATCTTGCATCTCTTGAGATCCCTGAGTGATATTTTCCCAGGTATCTCCGGATGAATCATATCCAGCATTTGACACAAACAGTCCTCAAATGGTAGAGTTTCCATTCCAATGGCCTCCATTCTGTGCAGCTGTTCCTCATAAAAGTATTCGAGTTCATACATGGACAAGTATCCATCACCATCGAGATCCATACATCTGAACCAGTATTCCACAGCTGTTGGATGATTTTTGTCCTCCTCGCTGAGTAAAAACCAGACAAATTCAGTGTACGTCATTTTATCGTCAGCCTGACGTCCCTTGCCACCGCGTGTCACAGCACCACTGAATATTCTCTCGATCAATCTCGTGGATAATGCGTGATCATTGTGCCTTGTGAGATCCATCTTGTCGATGAGTAGATCGTGATCTCTATCGAGCTCCCAGAATTTACAGTAGATAACGTAGAAGTGCTCGTAGCTGAAGTACGAAGTCACTTGGTTAATGTCCTCCTCGTGCTCGAGAATGGCTATTGTCTCGAGTAAATTACTCCTTCGCACCTCGGAGGAACTTATTTTTCCACTCCAACTGCGATTTACGCAGTAGAAAATTCGGGCTATTACCTGCGGAAAATATTTAATAGTTAATATTTAATATTTAACAGTTAAGGGGTAACAGGAAGCCACCAGTTCCTCGAAATTTTCAGACAAATTTCCTGCTCATAGTTATCAATATTTTTTGAACCCAAAGCACATTGATCTTTATTATCGATTCCTGGAGATTAATGTGCTTGGATTTGTAAAAAATATCGATAACTTTCAGCAGGAAATTTGTTCAAAAAATGGAAAGTCAACGGCATTCTGTTACCCCTTAATAGTTATAATTAATAGTTATCAACAAAAAATTGAGATGAGTGTCAAATGGAATTGAATTTTAAATAGGTAATGATGAAGTAATATTACGAATAGTCATCCCACATTTATTATTTTCCATCAATGACTAGTATTTATTCATTCGTATTTCGAACCATTTAAATTCTCTTCCATTATCAATACTCCATTAACTAAAAATAGAAATTACTTTAACTGGAATTTGTGTGATTAAAATTTTTTTGTAAACATGTTTTTGGAAAATATCGGCTAAATCATGACCATTAAAAAACAGACACTCGACGACGATTTATTCAACCGAATGAAAAATTATTATTCTAATCAGTACTTCCGATAACAAAAAAAGTTAATAAATAAAAATGAATAAAAAAATATATAATAAAAAAATGTTTTCCCAAAAAATAAATAAATTCACTCACCGTATGAACATAACGCGAGTGAAATTCCGTGGCCTCCTTGAGGAAGGTGAGCCCCGGATGTGTCTCCACGACATCCTGAATGAGACAAACCAAATCCTCGGGCAAGATGGTCTCCCTCAAACCCCTGGTGACAATTCTCACGAATTTACTGGCAGCGTCGTGATGCGTCTTGCAGATGTCCCTCCAGAAATTCAAAAAATTCAGCATCTCAACACTTGCACTCTTGTCCCCCCCGGCAGCGAGGAACAGGGGAACTTTCCAGTATATTGGCAAATCGCATGCCTTTGAAATAACGTGAAATTGTCCTCGTGTTGCACGATTACCCGGCAAACTCTCGAATGCCTTTGTGATCTTGGCTATTGTCGCTTCAATCTGTGACAGTGGCGTTGGCTTACCACCGGGAAAGTAAAATCTCGGAATGCGAACGTTTTTATTCGCTTTAACGTGACGCTGAAGGGTTGTGTGGGGTGGTAGAGCTTTTGATTGTTGCTGTTGAATTCTCTCCCTTACGTAGGACTGAAATTATTTTCAAAAAATCAAATATTGTACTCCATTCGTACTTTTTTTATTTCGACGGATTAAAATCAGCGAAAGAGGAAAAATGATTGAGTCGACTCAACTCTCAGCTGAGGTTTCGAGGAATATCTCGGAATCTAAGGGAGATAGCGACATTATCGTAATGACCTTTTTTATGGAGAAATTCGAGGGCTAGAAAAAAGGTCATGACAAAAATTTTGCCATCTGCCTTAGATTCAGAGATATTCACTGAATGAATAATAAATGAATAATAATGTTCTATTAAAAATGTTTATATATCGTTGTTTCTCCTGAATTCTGAGGGATTGGAGAAAATTATTCGTCATCAAGTGAAATTCACTGTTTGTCTAGCACTTGACATAAAAATTCCTCATTATTATCCCCCTTTTGTTAATGTAATTCAATTCGAGATTCCTGCAACTTCAAACCTGTCTATTTTCACTTGATTATAATTCTCTCGGACATTCTGAGAAGCAGAACTTACGGAATCACAATTTCCACGGCTTCCCAATGACGCAATAATCATTCTTACGTTGTTCATTCTCTGGGACAATCCCAGTCTTATTTAATACCATAATAAAATTTAAAACTTGGGAATGAAGCATTGGATTCAGTGAAATTATAATAAATAATAAACTCGGTGAAATCGCAATAAATAATAAAGTAATAAAAATAAATTTCGAGATATTAATTGAAAACTGCATTGAAAACTGCAATTGAAGATCGGTTTTTGGAAAATATCTGCGAATCTAAGGCAGATGTCGTAATTTTCGTGAGAATCTTTTTTGTAACTCTCAATTCGCCCCACAAAAAAGGTTATAACAAAAATTCAGCTATCACCCTTAGATTCCGAGGTATTCAGTGAAAACTGACGTTAAGATCGACTTGAGGAGTTTTCGCCACTGATTCGTCGTAACTGTCCCGCTTCGCTGAGTATTTCATCTTCTCCAGGCTCTTCCCAACACCCCCATTTACACCCTCAAAATAATATTTATTTTGCAGCATGCCCTCATAATTTGTTGTTAACTTTTCAATTTGTTTATTGATTAATTCATTGTAAATTCACTTTTTCGAGTCTGGATTTTTTCCCCGAAACTTACAAATATTTTGAATAAAAAAGCTCTTTTGCAGTTCTTTGATAAAATCCATATTTATCGAGTTGTAATTTTTTTAAAATTATGTACCTGGTGCAGCCTAAAAATTTTGGTTTCACATAATTTTCAAAAAATTTTTTTTTCTAAATAACATTTCGAGGCATGCTTGGAGTACTTCTACATCCCATTCAACTTTCATTGAAATCGAAAAAAAGCCGATTGAAATAGTACGTAACATGAAGCTGAAACTAGCGAAAGGTTCGACAGCAGAAGATCTGTCCCAATTAAATCTGGGGGTGTACAAATGTTTTAAATTAATGTACAAACTCTTTCGCACTTAAACAACATTTGTACATATGACTATTTGGCTCTCCTACACATGACGATGTATTACATCCCCTTTACTCTTTTCGCCAAAATTCACGTTTTTTTAATTTTTCAGGCAAATTGTTGATCGGATTGACGTAAAAAAAATTTACCGTTTTTTCGTTTCATCATCACTTGATAACTCACGAAATTTCATGATCGTGCAATAATTTTCCTGCGTTTTATCTAACACTTTTCAGAAATACCCAAAACTTTAGAAAAAATGCAGGAAAATGATTGCACTACCCTGAAACTTCGTGAGTCAGTCAACAATAATAAACCGCAAAAACGGTATATTATTTCGCGTCAATCCGATCAATAATTTACCAGAAAAAAAAAAAAAAAAAAAAAAAAAAAAAAAAAAA